CTGATGGCTCTTGTGGCACTTGATGCTGACAGTTCAAATGTAATGGAGGCTGGTGGGCATTTGATGGGCAGATATCACTGGCATACAGCTTTTTCAGTGCACACTTGTTGTGCACCACCTCGACACTGGGATAAAGGTGACAGACAACTAAGACTGTGGCTTTGCATGAATTTCCAAATGCCAGCTTGAATAGACAGTATTCCTCTCTTCATCCAGCTGTTCTACTATTTTGGCATCTCATCAAAATTTCCAGGAGTAATTGCAAATGAATAACCATTTTTCATTTAGCTTATACGCAATCCTGGCACCACTGATCATTTGAACACTTGCTTATTATATACGTAGATATGCCATCAATGTATGTACTGGATTTTTGAAGGCAAACTTCAGAAATAAAGGGTCATAGGCGGTGTCCAATGCATTATTATTGTTATTGATGTGTGCCAAAACATCAATAGCAATTGATGTTTTTTATCATCAGGATATTTATTTATTATCAGGATGTAAAAATAAATAGGTCCTGTTGGTAAGCAGATGCCCAGGAGCAGATAGGAATGGGGAAAAATCATAATCCTCTTGTAGGAAACCAAAGAAGTGCCTGAGTAGTGTTTTTCTGCTTGGTCTAGACTGTTCTAAATGCTAAGTATCTCAAAGGCCTTCCAAATAAAAAACAAATGCCAACAATTACCTCTCCTAAACAGCAGACTTCCAGCCTGCTCAGAATACAGTGGTGAAAGTTTGCCCAGGTTTGCTTGTTCTATTGGTAAGTCTTAGCTGGCATTTTGGAAAATGGAGTTTGAAAGCTCTGTGCACATGACTTGGAGTGGGACACAATCTATGTCACGCTTCCAGAAAGAACAGAAATGTGAAGTCCTCTTTACAGTTGCTCTTAGCTAGAAAATGATAAAATGATGTACAATGCTGCTGCACTTGAGTGAGGAACAATGTTCTGACAAAAATACTTGCTGCCTCTCCAGAGCAGAAGGTTGGCTTTTCATTTGGCAGCACGCTTCCAGGCAGTTTTACCCTCCGTTATTAGTTAAATTGATCTAGTTAATATTAGAACAAAAAAACCTCACCATGATGAGTAGGAGTCCTCACTCCATTTATACACAGCTCTGTCTTCCTCTCCATGTCAAGAGCCTCCAATTCCCTGTTGCTGGCTCCACGATTTCCTGGCTTTGTCACAATTCCTTTAATTTTCCCACATTGTCAATGCTTTAAAGGAAGTTGAGAAGAAAGGTAAGAATATAATTGAAATTTTGTATTTCCCCCTCCAAAGATCTCCTTTTATTTTGTCCATCGTAACAATATATAGGCTGGCAGCAAAGAAAAGCTGTATTCTTGCAGAATGTGAATGGCCTGAATTACCTATAATGGTCCTGACTGTGGCTCAGAGGTAACTTGTACCTGCAAGTGAAACTACAGGAAAGTAAGACCCGCATTTTCTCTGCTGCTATGAAAACCTGTGAGGTGAGCTTCCCTGATGTTATCCTAAGGGAAGGTACCTGTAATTTGTTAGCAATTGAAGTGCAAGTTGGCACAAGCAGGAAGATTACGGTCAGGAGTAAGGTGTTTTAGCAAGGCAGCAGTGAATACCACATGCTCTCCAGACTCAGCACACACAGTCAGCTTAGTTGCAAAGGAAGGGGAGAAGTTTTCTTCCAACTAGGACATGCAGTTATTTTGTCTTGGCCACTTGGAGACAACCTCTCGGACTAGCTAGGAATCCGTAAACCACAAAACACTCATGCTAAAAGAATCTGGCTAAAGATGCTACTTTTGTGACTTGTTTTTTTTCCTTTTTTAAAACAAATTCCTTTGCAGTAATCAATAGTAATCAAAAGACAACTTTCTTAAGTTCAAGGATATCACCTTTAAATGTTAAGGCTACAAAAAAAGTTAGTACGAAATTCCTATTTCTGTTAAAAAATGTACTATATAAATATTTTGTAAAAAGCTGATGATTAACAGTAATATTTGTGACATAATGAAGAAAAGCAAACTTTATGAAGAAACAAGCAAGTGTGCATAAACAGCTCTCATTCGTTTAATTAAGTATATTTTTTCATATTAAAAGCAGTAGTTATTTTCTGGATGGTGGCTCTCAAATTATAGAATTAATTTGTCAAGCTCTCAGACCTGGCAGGGCAAAAGGCTTTCTTGCTGTGTTGTGACAGAAGGGGAAAAGTGTAACTACTTTAGTAAAGAGCTAAATAACCACAAGTTAATGGAGAGAAAATGTAGGAAAATAATTACATTAATTCACTTCAGACCTGATCAGACCTTTAACCGTGCAATGACAGACATTCTTAGCCCAGCAGCAGATCCAAATTTACACTTTACAGAATAACATCCTTACTGAGCTACAGGTTGCCAAGGAGCTGTTAGTGAGGGAAGTGCCCTGTGTGCCAATTCCAGAAATCAGTAAGGCAGTACAGTCTGCCCTATATTTCCAGACTTTTGGTACCTTACATAACTAGGTACAAAATATGCAGTTTTATTTCTGATTCTTTTCTTTGGAAGTGCAGTCATGTGCAATCAGGTGGAATAAGTGTGCTGATAATTCTCCTTCAAAAACTGTAATGATTAGCGATGTGGACACTTTTCTCTTTAGGCAGAAACCATGAGGCACTGAAGCAAGCATTCACTTTTCTTGCACTTGAGGTCACAAATTTATGCAAGTCAAAAATGTTGAGCCTGCCAAAAACATCATGCTACACTCCACCAAATAAAAGGACACTGTTATTCTTACAAGGAAAGGTTTGACAGGACAGGAAATAGGCAGGGTCATAGAAGTTTACTTAATACTGAAACTTATTTAACCACCTTTAAGCCAAAGTACAATGTTATTTTTTCATATATATATTTATATGTATATACTGGGGGGGAAAGAGAAAAATACAAGTAAGCTATTACAGGAGTAACAGCCAATACAGAATGTAGGGAGCTTTAACAAAAATTCACGTAGTTCAGGTTACTATACATCACCTGTCTCTACTGGGTTAACGTGCATTAAGGAAGTTTTAACTTATATCCTGAAACTGCAGCAAGAGGAATCTGATTTAGAGAATCCAATGCATTTTACCAAGCTATACGCTTATCTCCATTACAACTCAATCTTTAAGTAAACTGCATTTCTCTTAAAGGAATGAAGGAGGAGGAAGAGCAGAATAATATGAAAGATAGGAAAAATGTTGCTGTTCATTACAATTTTCCATTTTTGTTGAAACACAGCAGGAGAGCAAAGCCACAGGCTTCTCTACTGCTCTTGCATGCCAGGAGGGATTATGCAAACACTGCAACCACCCAAATCTTATTTAAATTATAGTCATTGTTCCCCCTTTAATGGTTATACTTTTGCCTGCTTTCACTCAAATATTGCTGCATCTTGCTTTCCGCCAACTTAGTCCCACTGGGAGTCATCAACTCTTAATTACAGATGAACAGATCTCTGAAAAATACCTCTGGAAAAAAAAGTAGAAAAGAAAGCAGACCTTAAGTGCCATCTAGTGGCTGATTATTAAAAAAACATTGGGTCAAAAAAATTCTGAACATGCCACAGAGCAATGTAACTAGCTGAAATGAAACAGTGCTTGAATTCACAACCAGCAAAGACCTGTTTAATTACTGGGGAATCAGAAAAAGGTAAATAGCATCTTTGCAGTAACTTTCAAGATATTTGGCCTTAATTGGAGAGCTCAAATGGTAGGAATTGTAGATCACTTGTTCCTCCACGACCCTCAGCAGCTTATCAGAATCCGTATCTCCCCAAATTGTCAGGTGTACTTCAGTTAAAATCAGAAAACAGAACCTTTTCACATCTCAAAATGGAAGCCAAATCATAGGGGTGAATCTAAACCCAATTATCTAAATTCAAGTTAGCCTTTTCCACCCAATTCACTTGGAGTTCAAGGCCAGATTTTTCTCTGTCCTTATTTGTAACAAGTCAAATTCACTTCTAAAAGAAGGCAGACTGTTAGCCAGTCATGTCCTTTTCCTTTCTCTACAGGAAAACACCACTTTCTGCTGCATATAGGAATTCCTCACCCAAATATCTTCCACGTTTCAAGTAGACAGCTGTATAATTCCTCAAATTTTAGACAACTCTTCTTGGAGATGTGTCCTTTCTACATATAAGCAGTAATTAACAGCATAAACTTTAATAGCTCCGTTTGAACCTGTTTAGTGATAATAGGGAGCAGACCATCAACATATTTATTTTATATATATATTTTTTTTGTATAGCATTTTTACTTTCAAGTTGCTTCAGAGCTTTCCATTTTCTTCAGTGTCAGACATACAGTGAGCTTTGGGAATTACTCCTCAGGAAGATTCTAGAGAAAAGAACTTGTATAGGTAGATGCATTTGATGTGATACTTGATGCATGTTAGTCTCTAGCCTCTTGTGGAATGACTTGGCCTAATGTCATCCAGTCAGACATACTGAACCAGCTTTATGCTGAATCACAAAGCTAATTCACAACTATTTAGATAGGCTAGATCTCAGATGAAGAAATGAACAACATCAATGCATCTACCAGTTCTTTCTTCTTTCTGCCTACATAAAAGTTCTCAAACATGCCAAATTTTTAATGTTAACAAGGTCAAATGTACTAAGTCTAGCTTACAATTATAAAGAGGGGGAAAAGTTTCCATCTATATTCTCTCTGCTCACAGGATGAAGGGAAGTTTGTAACAGTCAAAGGAAATTAAAAACAACAACGAACACTCCTCTAAAGCATACAGTTTTATGCCTCCTATTTGCCAGACAGGAAAACAAAATACTTTCATGGTAAAAAGGAAACATTAAAATAAATTGGAGGGCTCTCCATGTTCATGGTAATGAACAAAAAAAATTTACAGGTTTTGATATAGGTTCTGGTCTGCGATAGTAAGAACTTCAGAGCATTCAACACACTGATGTGTAACTCTTGTTACCTTCTAAGAAGTATTTATCTTCAGTAGCTTTGTTACTCATACTAAAGCAAGACTTCATCTACTAAAGGAATTATCTGAAATTTATTACAGTAATGCTGTGGTTTGATGTATACAGGGAGTTCATTGTAGAGGTGGGCTTGAAAGCATTTCCACTGACTCAAATAGGTGTGTGTTTGTTTATTTTCCAAGACTCTTACAGGCAGGAACCTTGCACTAGTCTTAAAATACTTCTAAATAAAAATACTTTTCAAAATAAGTGAGACATTTTTTGTAAAGACACTTATCAGCCTGTATGTTGACAAAACACAGCAAGCATGGATCAATACATTTACTGTCATGTTTCTTTCTCATGTATTCTTCTCAGACTGGTATTTCCTAGAAAAATCATGTTTCTTTTTATCTCAGAATCTGGAGTTTATTGTTTAAATATGCAAATCAGTATTTTCCAAGTTGCAGCAAACAACGCGTAATATCAATAAAACTTAATTTTATTCTTGTAGGCTGCTGCCTGAAGTGATCATCCTGTATCTTTAGGGACTTAAGCCAGTGTATCCCTTGTTTTTTTGTTTTGTTTTGTTTTTGCTAGGAGGGAAGAGGAGCAGCAAAACTTACTCTCAAACTCCAGCAAGAAGAAATGGGTTTACAGAAAAGGATTTATTCTTATTTTGAGACATTTAAATAGTCTTTGATAACTGAAGATCCTTTCACTTTATATAAGATTATATAAGGGAAGATGCTTAATGTCAACATCATTTTTCCAACAGATTTAGAACCTTATTACCACGACGTGCTTCTCACTCACAACAGCCATTGGCATGGTAAGCCTGTATATACAGATGATAGAACAATGTTGTGGTAAGGCTTTAAGGGAAAAAAAGCACTGCTTAGCAGGTAATGCACATAAGGGGAAAGGTTTTTACCCTGGCCAAAGATGTACTTGCAGTTTCACCACCGCCAAGTCAAAGTAATGACTACAGATAATGGAATTAGAATGCTGTCATCTTTGTTTTCCAGCTCTTCAGGGTTGCGGAACAACATACATAATGTGTCAAACTTTGGAAATGGCTAGTAGTAGAAAAGGATGCAAAACAAGGACATAAAACTATAACCCAAGACCAGCAAGGAGAATTCTGTGAACACCTTATTCATGAATAGCAGCATGCTTCACAGCATTTATTTACTACATTGATTTCCAGATGAGTTGTAATATTTACTTTACACACCATATTTCCTGCTCTTAATCTAGTGAGCTGAAAAAATGGCTTAGAACCAAATAAGGATCAAAATTAGAATATTACCTTTGAAACAACAATTTTTGACAAGTCATAGGAGATGCAATATTGAATATCTTCACCTTATTCTAACTTAGGGATTACAGTAGGAAGTCACATATTATTGCTAACTCTGTACAAAGTAAACTCTCGGTATAAAATATTGATACACACGAAAGCTTTCTTTTAGGAGATTAACACAAATATTAATGAGGACAAAATATAAAAAAAACCACAACAACTAATTGACCAAGTAGTTCAAAATATTACATCTAATTCAAATGAAAATGTAGAAGTAGAACAACAAAAAAGCAATAGAAAGCACATTCAAATCATTTTCAGTTCTTTCCAGTAGAACCAAAGCCACCTTCACCACGTTCTGTATCATCTAGAGCCTGAAAGACAACAATCATAACAAGCTTGTTTAGAGTTTTAACTTGCCTTCAATTCCCGTATAACCAGCATCGTTTATCACAGAGGACAGGGCATGTACAAAGGCTGCTCTGAAAGTTACACCTGCTATTATGTTGGCTCATGACATCAGAGGCAGATGTTGGCATGGCAGTGGAGGTTGAACCTTCCCACCAACATTCCTTTACATTTTGTTGCTGTGTCACAGATGGCAGCAGAGGGGCAGTCTGACAAAGAACATATCAGCACAGTGAGGCAGCAGGTGGCGTATTTCAGCTATGGTGACAGCAGGTCATTCTGCTAGTGCAGATTTTTGTAAGTATGGCATGCAGTGTCTTATTCATCACTGTCAAAAATGGTGATGACTATGTTGAAAAATGATGTTTTGCAGCTGAGAATTTGCTCTATCAATCAGTGTTATTGTGCTCTTTGTATCTGTTATAGTTTCCACGGCAATAAATAGGAGGCATTACTTTCAGAGCGACCTACATACTTGGCTTCTCACAGTAGATCAAAACTGTCAGTAATTCAAACTAAACCGAAATATTTTAGGAGTCAGTTTTCAATGCCTTCTTAAATAAGAGCTTAAATAAATCCCGCACTGAGAGACTAAATTTCTAGCAAACACTGAAGGATTTCTCACCTGCTTGCTATCTGTGAAAAACTTTGAAATAAAAAAAAATCAGAAAATGCATGCAAAGCATAAAGGGTTTTACACAAAACATAACAGAATCGCTGCTTAATAGTTAGAATAGTTTTAAAGCAAAGTATTTACCTAAAGCAGAAATTTCATCTTATCTATAACTAAAACTACTAGTTGTTGAAAACAAGCAAATATTTCCCTTTGACAACTTACTTGAACTTCTTCTAGCTCAGGATAGAAAATGCGTTCACAGATGAGCTGGGCAATTCTATCTCCTTTCTTAACTACAAAGAAGTTAAATTATTGTTATTTCCTTAAAAAAATCCATACAAGTTTAGATAATCTCTTTCCAAGAGTTTCAGAATGTAATAAAATACTTATTTGAAATTTAGTTAAGCAAAAATTAGAAAGCCCAGAAAAATACAGGCTATGATAACTTGTGCTTAGCCCTTTTAAATGAAGTTCCAGCAGCAATACCAGCTTAAGGGAAATCCCCTCATTCCTGCTGCTATACTGTGGTTCCTAAGCACTGTTGTACATAAATACTACAGAGACTCAGACAGTTGCTTTTATGATGCTTGTGTGGATTCAATCTAAAAACTTGTTTCTCTGGGGCATTCTATATTCTAATCCCTGGGGATTCTACTACTCTATGAAAAAAAAAAAAAATAAATGAAGGGATAAAAGGAAAATCTTTGGCTTGATTTTCCAACTTGATTCACAAAACTTTTTTAAGAGGCTTGTGCTGTGAAGTTGCAGAAAAAGTTGTAAAAATATTGGCAATATTATAACTGGGTCCTGAGGCTTAAACCTGTGCATTTGGGAAGGGAAAGTATGATTAAGGGAAAATCATTCTTTATTATTCATGTTTCTCAGAATCACAGAGAAGTTTTTATCTCAAAATTGCTTATTGTTGAGATAGAAAGAATCCTAATACAAAGTTGCACTTCAGTAAAGGTCAAGAATCTGAAGGTTAGCTAAGGAGTTCTTTTCTGCACACTGCCTCATTTACTAGGAGTGCAAACTTTTCAGATTTCCTTAATAGGACACTGTTAAGTTGCCAAGATTTTGTTAACTATAAAAACGGTCTCAGATAAAACTGCCATTTCACAGATTTTTAAAGAAAACTTAAATTCTCATTTCCCAATCAGATGTCTAAACACAGGCTTTGCTTAGCTTAACGCTTACCTTCAAAAGTCTCCTTGCCGAAGTTGAAGAGTACCACGCCAACGTTTCCCCTGTAATCCTCATCAATAACACCAGCTGATATATGGAAGAATTAAAAGTGATATTCAATTAATAAATGTTGCCAGTATTTTAAACAATGCAGGTTTGGATTGGTAACAACAGCAGTATGTCATGCTGGTATACTTTATGCTGCTCATGCACAATTAAACATAGGGTCCAATTTTCAATGCATGTATTTTGAAGTCTGCTTACACAAATACTAAAGTTACATGTCCTTCCTAGACGTTCCAAGTACCATACATACAAAATACTACCCACTGAGACTACAAATGCCAAAGAAAATTGTAGTATGACTATGCCTTGAAGTTTTATTACTGAACATACATACTTATGAATAGAAAATCGAGGGTTGTTATTAGTTTCTTCAATTGTGTGAAAATATTGCATTCTATATTGTTCATTACATTACTTTATGTCTCTGGACCTGAAAGTGGCAATTTTTATTTATTTTAGAGCAGGCACCAGTTAATTAAGTGCCAATTACATAAAGATCTTGCTGCAAATGCTGAAGTGCTCTGAAGTTGACTGTTGAGCAGCCCTCTCCATCCTTTCCTGTCCAGTATGCAGGGTTAACAGATATGTTGTATGTAAGAAGAGCTTGAGCACCACTGAATCTTGCCAAATGACCTCAGTAAAACATGGCTCCTCAGGTAGTATACCTTTTTTTGCCAACAAAGAAAGATGTAAGTAAAAGCTAGCTTTTATATTTAGCAGCAGCATCTACAAGAAATTCTAGACCTTAGCATTGCTCTTTGAAAAAGCTCTGGCCACTTTTACTTCCTTTCATTTGAGAAATTTTCAATTACTTTGTATATGTCACTTCAGAATTCAGGCTTTCTTCTTCATTTCAGCAAGCTTACCACTGGGGAGGATGATCTAGCCCCCAAAAAATGAAATGATGTGTAAAAAGAGAGATAGGTTAGCTCTCTAGGAATTGAAAACTGTGTGATACTCAAGATAGAAACGACTGATGAATATTTTAGTGGTTAAACTGAAGTCAGCAGCATTAAGTCATTTGTATTATTCACTAGAGGGAGAAAAGCTTTCACTAAGCATTCAAATTTTATAAGCTTAGCTATAAAGTAAACTACATTTGTAATGAATCTACTGATTGCTTCAGACTTGTTTTCTAACAGGCAAGAACTGCACTTCCCACGCAGTTCTAAGGATGAAAACTTTCCAGAGGATACAGAGAGGAAGGATAATCTTCCTCAGCTGTATATCTAATATAAACAGAACTTGCAATCAGACTTGAAAATATGTATTAAGAAATAATTAAAAAAAAAAAAAACAAAACTTTGTGGCCAAAACCACTAGTCTAAATGCTGTGCTGAATGGCTGTAATATTTACAAAGTTATGATTATTTCAAATTCTGGTAGAGATTTTGTGAAATTAATTGCCTTCCAAACATTTTCTCTTCGCATATTATACTCAAGTGGTCTTACTGAATTTAACCACCATCACCATCTAGATTTTGAGTTTAAACTATACTATTTTTATTACAGAAACACCTGACCAGAAATTCAATGTTTTGGGCACACTGGCAAAACATGGTATCAGAAAGTTTTCTCTGTTATTCCAGAACAGCAAGTTGCAATAACTATACGCACTGCTGAGCACCGAGACTCTGTTCTAAAATACGTGTACTGGGCGGAAATCATCTAAGTCATTTTTGGAAAAATTGTGCATTACAACTGGCAGTCTGACATATGGTCTTACTCTGTCACAAGTTTGGCATGTCATTTGTTGGGAAAGCATCCACACCTAACAGATGTGAATTCTGAATGTGTTCTTGCATGATGCCATATTTTTTCTCCAACCCAATGATCCACTGGACTTCTTATTGTGTATTTTTCTTTGAATGGATAATGGCTTTCATCGTGACAGAAGTACTTGGGCAGGACAATTAAAACGTTATAACTGTTTTGGTTTTGTTTTTCCAGAAGTCTTCTGTCAGTAATAATTTTACTTATTATTTTTAAGCTGTTTTTTTGACAAACTGAATGCAAGTCATCCTGCTAAGCACTGTTTATTTTCTTCAAGCACTTCCTAGTCTAACTTTCAGATTTGAAAGACTGTTACAGAGGTGTAGCAGAAATGCTAAGTCACAGCTTGAACCAGTGATTGAGCACAGGGGTGGGAAGGCAGGGCCAACCCAGCAGAGCTCAGGTGCATGCAATGAAATGCATCTGAGTGCCTGGAAGGGGTGCAGCCAGGATCCACCCCTTCCCAGACCTCATTTAAGGGTTGGCAGTGGAGGAATGGGGTCTTGCTGAAGACCCCTGTCTTCCCCTGAGATCTTCCAAGGGTAAGTAGATTGTTTCCTTTGTTTCTGCATCCATGGTTGCTGCAGCTGGGCTAATCCTTGCTTCCTGCAGCCTAGGACTTTGCTATCTTGTTATTATTGCTCATTATAGCAATGATAATAATATTATAGCATATAGCATTTTCATTAAAATGAAAAAAATTTTTAGAAACATTATCTGTAAGAATCACACTAGAGTAGATGATGTATACTATGGTGTCTTGGGTATAGAATGGAGAAGCTTTGATTCTTATGTTAGTGCTTCTTTTTTTGGTTACTCAGGAAAACCTAAAAATACCAGAAGGCAATAGGCCTAAAATAATTCTGATATAACATAAAGCCTGAATGATAGAAAGTTGGCATAGATGCTCTGCTTTAACCTGATACTAGAAGCATATAGCAGATGCAGCCAGGCTTTCATATGCCACAAAGCAGACCCAATAAGGCAGTTCTGCAGCAGCTCTAAACTTACCTGGAGTTGCCTTTGCTTTATGGCTAGCCTGGCATCAGAGAGAAGGATGCCTGCAGTTACCATCCCTAATCTCTAGAGCCCTGCCTGTAAACAAATACAGGCTAAATATCATTCCTGTACTAGTCTAGCTTGTAAGTTGTTCAGTACTTACACCTGGGTTGTGTCAATGTCTCACTATCACTACAAGCTGCGTGACAAAAGAATGGAGCACAGCTCTTCTGAAGAGGACATGGGGGACTGGTGGAAGGCAAGCTGGATGTGACTTCCCCTATGAGGACAGGTTGAGATACTTGGGGCTGTTCAGCCTGGAAAAAAGAAGGCTCTGTGGAGAAAGTGACCTTTCCGTATTTAAGGGGGGATGAGGGCAACAAGAGAGAAGGAACAGACTCCTCAGTGAGCTCTGCTGTGGCAGGACAAGGGGAAATGTTCTGAAACCATAAGAAGGGAGATTTAGATTTAAGGAAAAAGCTATTTTACAATAACAGTGGTAAAGCACTCTGGTAGGAAGTGGGTTTTTTGTTTTACTTTCAGACTTGAGTTAATGTACAAAGTTAGAGCTGGAATTCTATGTGACTTCATTTAAATTAATTCAAATCTTACATCAGACTGAAAAAAAAAAAAATCATGCATAGCTCGTTAGTCTGTTTTTCTCCATTTTCACTAAAAGTAATCTTTTAAAGTCTAAACCGAAATATAATTTGTCAGACACTGCTTACAAGAACATTATTAATGATTTTCTTATACTAACTTGTAATTCATCACGTTTTAAACTAATTGTGATTTGTTGAGTCTCTGTGGAATTAATCAGTTATCTCCTTTTGCTAGACAGCTAGTGAAGCTAGTGTTATTTTACACCTATTACAATATGAAATTAAGGCATTTTACAATTAAGATTTACAAAGTTATAGTGAAAATAACAAAATCTTACCACCAACATCTATGAAGTGCTTTGCAGCTAAACCGGAACGTGGTGCTAGAAAAAACAATTATTCTTGTAAGTGCAATACAAAATATTTATAATTAGTGTGTTTGTACAAAGTTGTGTTAGCAAGAACTGTTCCCACAGTCTATCTAAAATGAATGTGATTTTAGAAGAATGGCTGTAGATATTATTGTATATACAAACAAAACCAGCTGCTACAGCCTACAACAAAATTGGAATCTTTAGATGATATAAATTCATCCTTGCTTAGACCACCAAATACAGAACAGGTTTCTTCAAAGAATGCTCGAATAGGATGTTATTCACTGTTTTGGACTGGTCTTAAGGGACTATTCTGGCAGTCCATTCTAGTTATGATTGAAAACAATATTTGACCATTTACTAAGAACACTGCATACAGATAAATTGTGTGTGGGCTTTTCATATTCCCTGGTCTACTTTGATGAGATGCTTAAATGTTACTGTCTTCAAAATTTGCTTTGTTTAGGATAAAACAAACGCATAAACACTCTTTTTAAAAGAAAGAACACAGCAAAATGAGTATACCCTTTTACTGGGGTAGAATATCTTGTACGGGTTCTCTCCATGACTGTCACTAGAAATCGTCTATTATATGAGGTTTTTACCTCAGGATCAATTTTTAAAAGGTGTGTTTTCCATGTGTCCCTTACCTATTGTTTTTCACCTTTTTAATTATAAAACTGCAGGGAAATAATCAATGATCACATCACCTATAAAGCTGTAGGCAGGATACAGCTCTCTAGCACGAGGCTTAATAAATCACATGGGCACATGAACTTTTGTATGTGTGCGTAGAGTAATTCTGAAAGCAAAATCTAAATGTAAAGTAACTCTAAACCTCCCTGGTATGAGTTCTCAGCCATTTTTATAGCCTGTTTGCTTACCTACTCGGCCATAGCATCCAGCAGGAAGAGCAATCTGAATGTCTGTTTTCACGACAGCCTTTTCCATGGGTGGGATAATGTAGTCATAGGCACTGCGTTGTGGGAAGAAATACCAGTTCATATAGCATCCTTAAAAAACTAGTAGTAAATGCTGTATCTAAAGGTACAAAGTTACTCAGAATCACTCCTGCTGGGCTGTGGCAGCATGACCTGCCATCGAGCTTCTCACACAAGAAACGTTTACAGACCGACGATACGGAATGCATGTCCTTACGGACGAGATAATCCCCTTTTGATGGAGCTAGCTTTCCGTAGCGTCATTTGGATAGCGTAATCATGAGGCCGCTACTCTTATCTGCTCTTAATTGCTAAGAGAGGTAAAGGATGCAAATTTAATTTGAAATCACCGCGGACTCGGGGCGCGGTCTCTCCCTCACCTGTACAAGTCGTAGCCCGCGGCTCGCGCAGAGCCCTTGGACGGAGCGCAGGCGTTCTCGGACAGCTTGGTGAAGCGGAGCCGAGCGGAGGGCTCCCCGACCGCCGAACCTTTCTGCCTCTTGCTGGGGGACGGCTGCAGGGCGGCCTCGGAGCACGGCATGGCTGCACGAGGGGGGGAAGGCGGGAAACCAGCGCCTGAGGCAAAAGCGCGCGAAAAAGCGGCAGCGCCCACTGCGGGCGGAGGGGAGCCCTGATCCCCGCACCCCCGCCGGTTGGAATGGCCTCGCCCGATCCCTCCCCAGCGCCCACCTCCCCGAGGGGCCCTCCCGGTGTCAGCTCCCGCCCAGCTGCGCTCCCCGCTGTCTGGGGGCAGAGCGTGGGGCGGAGCGGTGCGCTGAAGCGGACCCTCTCCGGCCCCCCCCTTACTGCGCCATTGAGGCCGTAGCTGCTGTGTGAGGCGCGAGGCGGGCCTCAAGGCGGCCGCCATACGGACGGCGGAACGCGTCAGCACGGCTGTGCTTCCCGCCGCCGACCGGCGGTAACAGCCTCCCGGGGTGCAGCGGGGTTATCCGCGGCCCTGCTGCTCCTACGCCCGGGCTGTACCTGCCATGAGGTGTGGGGGGGCCCCGGCAACGGCACGACGGCGCGGGGCTCCCCGGGACGAGGAGCGGCGGCGCCGCGCAGGGCTGGGCGGACCCCGCGGGGCTCGCGGCGTTGCCGGGGGAAGCGATGGCGGCTGCACGGCGGGAGGAGCCAGGCAGCAGAGCCGGGGGGGCTGCGACGAGCGGGGTGCCTGCGCCGGGCGGGAGCGAGCAGCGGTGCGGGCCGCCTCGGCTCTGCCGGGGCGTAAAGCTGCTCTCCATAAGGAGGCTGTTGACAGGAAATCCCCTTTGGTGTCATCGCTGCCCGCGTGTCTCAGCTTAGGCACTGCTCTGGTCAGGTTTAGGGGCGTTTAGTAGCGATAATCACTGCACCCGTACCAACCGTTCTAATGGACTTGCCTGAATTCACACACACAATCATAGAAAGGCTTAGATTGGAAGGGACCCTGCAGCCCCAATCTCTGCCGTGGGCTGTGCTCCCCTCAGCTCAGCTCCCAGAGCCGCCCAGCCTGGCCTTGGGCACCTCCAGGGATGGGGCACCCACCGCTCTGGGCAGCCCACGCCCGGGCCTCGCTGCCCTCTTGAGTGAAGAGCTTCTCCCTCACATCTAACCCCAATCTGCCTCCTTTTAGTTTAAAGCCATTCTTCCTTGTCCTATCGCTATCTATTAAAAGTTGCTGCCCTTCCTGCTTATAAGCTCCCCTGAAGTACTGGAAGGCCATGAGGAGATCTCCCCCGGAGCCTTCTTTAAGCTTTCCTGATGTGGAAGTAATTCCTGCTGGATTTTTGGCTACAGTACCTGTGCTTGGTCACTTTGGATGTGTTCTCTCTGCATGAGATTGAGTGTCTTGCTGTTACTGTTCCTAAATGCAGCAGATGGCAGTGAAACCATTGCTGCATACTGCCGTTCGGTTGTGAAAAACAGTATGTAGAAAGACATGCAAATGTGGGGTTTCTTTATTGCCGTTCAGCATTTTTACTCTTAATAATGTGCACAGAGAATGCTTGTGTGTCACAGACGTGTGTGAAAAAAGCTTAGAATATTTGACTTTTGATATAATTAACAAATTGAGAGTTAACTAGATTTCTAAGTTCTATCAAATGAACACCTAATTATAAGTGCAAGCAAAACTTCATAATGATTATAACTACATCCTGCATTATAGTGAAGGCAAAGCCTGGTTTGTGAGTGGCTGACTCCATGGGGCAGGCTCAGTTCTGCCTGCAGCTGAGGTAGCCTGAAGCTCTGTGCATAATGTGGAGGAGGTCCTGTTGTCATCAGGAGAAAGTTCTCAACTGCCCAACGCTTTTCTTTTTCTGGATCAATGCTTGAAGTGTGACAGGTTTGCCTTGGTACTGGGTATGTGCTGTTTGCTCGGGAGATAAGCAGTCATTTGGTCAACATTTCTGCATTCTTGACTGCTGACTTGTGCTGTTCTGTTAGGCACATCCTACTGGCTTTGAAGAATAATAGTGAGATAAACTGAAATTATCTGCCTTTTCCCTAAAAGAGTGGAGGCTGCTTTCTTGTACACAGAAAGAGATGCCAGCTTCTTTTATGGGTAGTAATCCCTAAAATTCTCTGCACTGAAGTTTTGGTGTTAGAATGAGCATTTTTATTAGGAGAAAAATGTGCCTTTAAAATAGAGATTTCCTCACATTCACTCCTTTCTCACTTAAAATAGCTGCCTCTCTCTCAGTGATTAAGATGTGTAATTTAAAAGGCTGCCATGGGGGAGTTTATTTGCAATTAAGTTTATTTTTGATCTTGTGTTTTGCTGTACTGTGCAGAGGGCTGTAGAACTTTTGTCAGTGCTGTTCCAGAACAACCTTAGTGCTTCCTCTGATGAAATGCCAGCAATGGCGTAGCTGTGAATTGTTTCTTTTATTATTTGTGGGGAATGCAAGCTAAAATCTGTTGCATTTGGTTGTGGTTGCAGTGGCACAGCTCTGTATTCTGTGTTTCCCCGCAGCTGAGGTAGCGTGCGGTGTTCTCACAGCACTGCTGGCTGTATGGCTGCCATGTGCTACACCTCTGCCAAGTGACCTCGCCAGACACTTGCTGGAAGGAATGGGTGTTCAAGCAATGCTGGGTATGTGCTGAGCCACACTGTTATAAACCCGTGATTTTCCTCATGTGTACCTGTAGCTTGAGGATTGAGTCATCCTCGTTTCGTTTATTGCCCCACTGACAAAAGTTGAGGTCAAGTAGCAGGGGAGGAGAGCAGGACATGGGAATCTCTGATCATTTCTCTGAAGTCCAGAACAGGCTGGGGACCTGTGGTTGTAGCTCAAGGAAAGCCTCTGAGCTGAAGTGGCTGAACAAATTGAAGTGGCTGAGGACTGCTTGAGTTCTGTTCTTGCAGCTTTGCTGGTGATTAGAGATCTCTGCCAGAGGGGAGATGACAGGCAGGTACAGGGAGTTAAATGAGTCTGATTTAGCTAAAAACATGTAAGCTGCACTTGGAGCAGTTTGAATACCTTTTTAGGAGTGGACTTTACTCAGGCAATATCAGTTTTGTTTTTGTAATTCTGATTTTACTCATTTTATGTTTTACTTACTTCTCTAGTTATACAGTTTTATTTAAAGAAGTAAATGAAGGAACTAATGGAGTAATGCTCCTCTGTTACCTTTGGGAGATAAAGAAAACTAAGAGGAATGTACGGAACCAGGAAACCCATGGGATCAGGATCTGGTTCATAAAATAATCCAAAAGGCAATTCAGATTGCTAATAAGACCAATTGCTGGGCTTGTGCTCATCTTCTAGAACATGCTGAGCAGGCAATTTCATTAGCTTATATATCTTGGAGAAACTTGTGGGTTGGGACAAATTTTACAATTGGTGATGACAAAGGAGAGGGAATCTTTTAATTGATAGGCGCAGTGTGTTCCACTCCTTTGCTCTATGGTTTATTCCTTGGTTAGGGGTGAGTGAATTGGAAAAGGCAATCATGAATATGTCAGCCACTGTAGAAGTAATTCAAAATAAAACAATGGGTGCTACGTATGCACTACAGAAAGAAATATCTCAAGCAGGAATGAAGGCCCTCTGAAATAGAATGGCTCTAGATATGTTGTTTGTCCCAAAAGGAGGGAGTTGTACAGTAATTAACACAAGTTGTTGTTACTTGTATGTAGACCAAAGTGGTAAAACTACAGATTTGGACGAAGTTTGGAAGCAGGCAAAAATATTGCATGAGGTTCAAAAAGGCAGTACGGCTTAGAGGTTTGACAGGTATTCAAATGGTTGACTTCTTGGTTCCCTAATTTAAGTTTCTGGATTATGAAAGTCATAGCAGCTGCCTTTTTGTCTGTTTATATGTTGTATCGAAGTGTGTATCTTAAGTGTTGCTTGATGTCAATTAACAAAACTTTGGAGAATATGAGACTGATCTATCCTGTATTGTTAAGTCTCAAAGGGAGGAATTGTCAGTAAGAACTAACCTTTGTATGAATCTTTTGTGTATGAATCCTTAGATATAGAAAATACATACTTTTCTCTACTTGAAACTGCTGAAGCGATTAAGAAGAGGAACTCTTAATCACAGTGAGGCGATTAAACTTGTATTTGAAGATAGGAACATCTTCAAAAAACAGGTAGTTAATTAGCATGGCTAGTTAGCCTTCAAGTTGGGAGATGAGCTCTATCTTTAACTGATCCATTGAAGGCTGGAAGCTGTATCAGTCAAGTGATAAGAACAGGTATAAAGAAGCGCTGCAAACATCCTGGGTGTGCTAGCTTTGTGGAAGATCAGCTAGCACCCAAACTTGCACAGCTTCACAGTAAGTCAGTATCTCAGCTGTGTGTGTGAGGCTGGTTTACTGCACACCAGGTAATGAATCCACCTTTTGGACAGGAGCAGCACAGTAAATTTGCCCATTGATAAACCTCCATGAGTGGCTGAGCCGCATGCTTGAGCCCTTAGGCTGTAGCTTAGCTGTCTGAAATATGGGATGTGCAGAATAGAAATTTCAGAATATTTTTGCTCTTGCTTTGTGGAAGGGTATTTTCCATCTTGCATATCTTTGGTCACCTTATCAATGCTTGCTTTTGTTGTATCTGATCAAATCAACAATAGGTTATAAAAATGTGTTGAGTTGGTAGTGTGGTATATGCTCAAAATGTGCTAGACAGTTTTAGAGCCACTTTTTTTTCCCTGGAGTTGTCAAATGTGTAATTAAAATTCAGTTACTAACATGGTGATTAAAATTCAGCAGTTGTTTTATGCATAATGTATGCTAAAAAAAAGGAAGTATCTGTTTCAGAGTGGGAAGGGAGGTGGACTGATAGAATTTTGCAAGTTGCAATTCAAGAGTTCATAATTAGCATTTTCAGCAAATTAATTGTGCAAATGTGTTAAAAAATATGGTGAGGACGATGCAGTGGCTCCTTGGAAACTGCTGTGTTGAAATGACTTGTCAATTTGTGGAAATAATGCTTTGCTTTAAGATAGTTAAGCACTGTTGTGTGTAGTTTGTGTTGCTGGTTATAAATTCCACAGCACTGCAGTGTGGATACGTCTTTAATTTATCTCTGTAGTCTGAGCAAGGAGTTTTACATCGATGTGTCTGGCAGTACTTAGTTTTTGATGGCTGCTCATTTAGAAATGAACCTCTTGGGATTCATTTTTGCAGTGCCCACAGCGATGTTTGTGAAGAAGGTGCATATAGTACTGAAAGTGCCATTGCTAACGTGTATTGTGCTTTTTCTCTTTTTAGATCTTGTTAGATCCCTTGTATCAGTTTGGGGCAATGTTCCCCATTGATTGAGAATGTGCAGTACTTGAGAATATTTAGGAAGCTACCCTTGTTCATGTACGTAATTGAAGGGCTTAATGCATTTGTGCAGCTGCCCCTAGTCCTTCCCTGTGTTGTGATAAGAGGCTCTTGCAGGAGGTCTAACTAGAGCCTCACTAAAATCTTGTTTTTAGATGATATCTGCTTATTGTTTGCAGTGAGAGATGGAAAGGGTGGTGGCCATTGCAACTCTACAAATGCAGAAGGACCTGACAGCATGTAACAAGCTCCTTTAGTATTGCTAATGTCAGCGTGAAGGATGGGAATAATTTCCATGTTTTGCAAGTGCAGAATTTGAGGTTTAGTTTGCTCAGAGCTGCAAAGAGGTCTTATTGTATCCAGGAAACTCGTATATCTGTGTCCTGCAGTTAAACTGCAAAGTGATCCTTCACCCTGGTTGTAAATGTGTAAGAAGGGGCAAAGGAAGAGCATTAGGAGAAAATATCAGTATTTCATACTGTGCCTTCAATAGCTGAAGAAAATAAAACATGGATTATTGGACTATATTACCATGTTCTGCTGAATTGCTGCTGCTAAACTTGAAAAATATGACTATCAAGCATTTGGTGTTTTTGGAGATGAAGTACTAGGTCCTCCACAAGTTATGTTCTCATAACTCAAACAAAGATGGGAGATGAGGCCTGCTTTGGAATAAGCATTAATGAAAATCAGAGTCCGCTGGCTTTCCTGGGGCTTTAGATTTCCGTTAGTCTCTCCGAAGGAGCTGTACTCCTTAATGGTCTTTAATTTAAATAATGCTTACCAGTTGGATAAAGCTTTTCCCATTAAAAGGAGAATCTACTTTTATTGACAGCTGAAATGATGAAGTGCTATAATGTTGCAGAATAGAAAATAGAAAAACACACTGCTTAATGGACTTATTTTACTTTAAGTTGATGTATAATGAGTATTATTTAGAAAGTCTAGGAAATATAAAACTATATAAAACTTTATATAAATAAAGAATAACTCAATTCAACTCAGCTAATCAAATTTATTTTGTTCTCTAATCACTTGCATAATCACTGTATATATTATCCCAGAGTATAATCTCAGATTTCTTTAACTTGTAACATTCATAGCAAAAATTGTCTGAATATTTAGTAGCTCACTAATTTCCTTTTGAAATTCACATACTACCTTTAGTTACTGCAATCATGCATTCCAGTCCATGTCAGAGCTTGAAAATTCATTATCAGCTCTTGTCATATAGAATCCATCTCGTTATCTATGCAACTTTTTTTGTTTGCAAGTTAATTAGAAGCATTTGAATTAACATTGCATTAAATTAGCATTACAATTTAGGTAAAGGCATCTGCTCTAGGCATAGGTTTTAATTTGGCAGTGTTATAATTAAACAGCATTGTGGGTATTCTGCTTGCTTTATATCGCTTTATGGCTCTGACCTAATGGATACCGTAGTTTTTTTCCTCTCCTCCAAGTTGGTGCATTTGACTTTCATTCTCCTTTGTGTTTTCTAGCAACTGTGACCATGCAATTTGGAAGAAGTATTTATTTATAGATTTAAGAATAGAAAGTCAGTACATTCTTGTGGTTGCCCCTGACCATTAAGATTGGAGGAAGGTTCTTTGAGAGAATTTCTAGCCAAGCCATATACAGGTAATCGGACACTGCTCCTTTTCTTGCCACTGGCAGACTCCTGTTCAGATAGACAGAAAATCAGCATTAATGTTACTAAGAAAAAGGGAGACATTCATTCTCACTTAAATATTAAGCAGAAAATGTTGGCTGTTCATATGCAAATCAGAATGTTCATAATTAGTCTGTATGATTATTTTCATCTTAGAAAGCGCAGAGCTAACACCAGGTCTTAATTTTGCAAACTCTTGGCTTAACGTGGCTATTTGGAGTGAAAATGAACTGCTTGAAAATATCTTTCTCCTGAATAGCTAAAGAAGCATTTTGAGCACCATAAAGCTGCACACACAGTGAAATGGAGGAAAAAAAAAAAAAGGTACAGTGCATGCACTTTTTTGCAGTCCGTCACTATCTCCTGATTTGTAGATACTGTAAGATGGAAGGTTGGATGTGTGATTCCATTTATGGTAAATATTACACGATCACTCCTATTTTGAGACCCAGTTAAAAGGGCTAAAGAGGTTTATCTCTGCATCGGAAATACTGATTTATTGACTATGTTTAAGAAACTGTTTAAACTTTCTGAAAACTGGTCTGAAAATGAGTTTTTGTATATTTATTGGTGAGATTTTCCTTTATGCAATTCGTCAGCTTATTCAGTTTCACATAACTTCAAGTCAATCTTGGCTAACAACTCTATTGATAATGTGCAAACCAAAATAATATTTTCTCACGCTTTTTGTTCTTAATAGCTTGAGGGAGAACAGGAGAAAGGAAGCATAATGAGTATTTCCTACAGGTGGGTAAGCAGGTGTAATGCTCAACATGTAGAGTGGAATGTGAAAATTACATTTTCAGAGATTTCCTCAAGCTATGAAGAAGTATGAGGAAAGATTTATATTTAGAGTAGTCCCAGAGAATGTCAGCCTGGATTTAAGCTCTCAAAATATGCTTAAAAAGTAACTTTCCCCTTAGTGAGTTAATGCAAGTATTTCTGTTGATCTACTCCAGAATCCCTGCTCACATCAGCTTATTCTCAAAGATAAAACTGCTACTCACAGGACAATGAGGTTAGCTGCCCTCGAGTGCTCTTGTAAGAGTTCATTCAAACGAACTTGGCGATAACTCTGTTTAAACCAAAACATGGGTTAAAGAAAAAGATTCAGTCAGTGATCTGCAGTCCTACCTATTGCCCACAAAATTTTCTCTTACTGAACTGGCAGCTCTGGAAGCCAGGTTTGCTCTATGACCCAGAGTGACAGAGATGGCAAAATACGAGCCTGTCCTAGGATGGCCTTTTTAATTTGCCTTGTTACCCAGGGGCCAGAGTCATTCACATCTGTTTAAGATGTGGGAATGGAGATCGGTTTTGTACTGGCACAGTACCATAGCTGGATCAGACGTAGTTTTTAAGTCTTTGGTTGACTATGTGGTAGAGCTGTTTAGGAGCTATTCAGAGACTCTTGTACTATTGTTTGATGGTGGATAATATATTAATTCCTCTATTTGCCCGTGTTGGGCTGCAAATGGATGGCAAATGGCCAGGTTCTTCATAGCGGTGCATAGTGATAGGGCATGGAACAATGGCCTAAAACTCAAAAAGTTCCATACAAACATGCAGAAGAACTTTGTTACAGTAAGGGGTGACAAAGCACTGGAACAGGCTGATCAGAGAGTTGGTGGAATCTCTATAGAGATATTCAAGACCCATTTGAAAACCAACCTGTGTGACATGTTGTAGGGAACTTGCTTTAGCAGGGGTTTGGACTTTGTGGTCTCTTGAGGTCTCTGTGATTCTGAGATTCTGTAATCACACTGACACCCAGCAGAAATTGTTCTCCAAAAGACCAGGAGGCTGAAGTAGGACCGTTAGCTACTTTGTGCATTATGTATCTGTATGGATGTTTCTTACATCGCATAAATGGCTGTTATTCTGGGATTCATAGAACCATAGAATGGCCTGGGTTGAAAAGGACCTCAAAGATCATCCTGTTCCAACCCTCCTGCTATGTGCAGGGTCACCAACCACCAGACCAGGCTGCCCAGAGCCACATCCAGCCTGGCCTTGAATGCCTCCAGGGATGGGGCATCCACAACCTCCTTGGGCAACCTGTTCCAGTGTGTCACCACCCTCTGGGTGAAAAACTTCCTCCTAATATCTAACCTAAATGTCCCCTGTCTCAGTTTAAAACCATTCCCCCTTGTCCTATCACCATCCACCCTCAATAGTCATTCCCTTCCTGTTTATTTGCTCCCTCTTTGGTTAGGCTCAGACCCTCAAAGTTTTTAAAACATAACAGAAGTAATAGAGAACCTCCATAAAATTCCCAGGACTGCCTTACTGCTGAAGATAAGAGGTGTGCCTTTCTGTGTAAGCTAAACTCTTTGTTGCTATGATTTTGTAGAGATTTAGCCTTTATCATATTACTGACTGCTTTAAACATGGAAGTTTTTGTCTTGGTTCTTTAGTCAGTGACCAGGCGGGACCAAGCTTAACCATTATATAAATGTGTGTGTATTGATATTTATTTTGCTTCCTGTTGCATTGTCATTGTTTCTGCATACAAGAGCTTACATCTGGGAGTCTTTTATTATGGAGGTTTCTAAGGACTCTCAGGCTTTGATTTATGCCAAGAGTGTTTTTAAAAGTTTTCTGCAGGCAGCTGACTACTGTAACTTTATGCTGGCTATCAAATCTGTGAGAAGGGCGATACTGTGAGCAGCCAGTCTGCTTCCCAGCTGCTGCCTTCAGTAGTATGGTGTGTAATCTTAAATCGCCATTGATTTCAGCTTATGTTAATATGTCAGACTGTGACCCTTGACAGCTCTGAGCTCTGACTCACAATCCTTTGCACCACTTGAGGAAGCTGCCAGCACCATGAAGCGGAGATAACTAAACTCCAAGTGCGTTCAGGTTAATCCAGCAGGAGCCATAAATGAGATTCCTAGATTCATTCTCTGAGAGTTGCAGCAGAACTTGTCTCTTAAGAATGAACACTTCTCAATAACCTGTCAGCACTGGCCTGATGAAGCCTGGCAGATCACTGCTAAAAAGGTGCATTCCAGCAATATTAAAGTGCATCCCAGTCTCCAATTTACCCAGTGGATCATCCAGCATCAGCCTTAAAATATCTCCAAACTGTGGGAGAGTTCCTGCATTGTTGGCAGGTTTTAAACTTAGCTCTGCCATTGAAGTAAGAATCCATGTTAAATCTTGCCTTTTGGGCAAATTCCTAGAGCTGGCTGTAGGGTCTGGGTTCAACTCTAATTTCCCAAAGTGGTTAATGTTTCAAACTGTTCTTAAGACATTCAAACTCTAAACAGTGAAACTGTCTAATAAACCTCTCAGCAGATCTTGTTAGCTCAGGCTTAGCGCAGTATTCTGGCTTCTGGTTTAGAAGTGGCTTTCATCTGGCTGGCTTTGAATGTGGGCAGAGCTTCTCACTGGCCTGGAAGATACTTTGTAAACATGCTAAGGTCTTACAGACTGCAGAATAACACAGTCGCAACACACCTCCAGTGTTCACAACATAAATCCAATTTGCAAATATCAAATACAGGCTATTTCATGTCATGTTTCTAATTTCATATCTCATATTTCACATTTTCTTACTAATAACTCAAAACATCTGGTCTGAAGCATAAGAATAGGTACGAGAGTAAAAGGGTAGGCAAGGCTTTACCTTTTCTTTGAATGCTTCCAGCTCTGCATCTGTAATTTTCCATGGAGTCTCTCGCTTTAATTTCTCAGCAGTTGTTATATCTTTACAGCTTTCACGGAGGCGATATGGTTCAATCATCTCTTCAAAGAATTTCCAACTAAAACAGGAGTTACAAAGGAGGCCTTGCTTCAGGATATGCACTCGCTAACTTATTTTGTAGACACTGTATGGCAGGCCCTGCTGACTATAAATGTAGCTTAAAAACATGCAAAAACTTTAACTGTTGTTTGCTGCATTATGCCCCAGGTTTTATCTGTATTTCTTCAATGTGTTGAGGTAATTTGAGGATGACTAAAAGGTTATTTGAGGATAATGCAACACTGTGTTTAGCCTGTTACAGTTGCAGAGAATTTGCTGCATTTTCCTGCTTATACAGTTTTACTGTCACAGATGTAATGAAATAGAAAACCAGACAATATAAATCTCCTGTAGCAAGGGGTTGAGGAGTTGAAGGAAATGCTGCAGTTTTGGGTGGTTTGTTTTTTGTTTGTTTGTTTTGTTTTGTTTGTTTTTGCTATATGGAGATCAGATTTGTAGTCATTTTCCACCTTTTCCATAGTTTCTCTCTTAATTTGTTCTTGAAGCTATTGATTATCTGGAGAAGTTTATCATCCTGACGTACATCCCTGCTAGTCCGTTGGTTAGAAATTTCTATAATCCCACAGAGACTCCAGAAAGTTTATGTTATGTTAACACAAATGTGTTTCTATTTTTGTTAATGTGTATTTTATATTCTATGCTATATGTGGGGAAAACTGGTGCCTAAAAGAATTAAGAGGCTTAACGTTAGGTTGCACCTCAGCTCAGTGGAAGGCTCTGGGGGGAGGAGCCCTTTGACTGTGAAGTATCTATGGACTATTGAGTATGGGACAGGTTGGAAAGGAGGATAGTAAGATGAGAACATTCTCCGAGATTCTTTAGGACCAGGAGCAAAATTATAAATTAGGATTTAGTTGTTCCCAGAGCAAAGCATTATATACTTTTGTATACACAAAATAGAAGAAATAGGCTATAGCGATAGAGAGATGCTTTAGAAAGCAGGGGCTCTTGAATATCTTGGCTAATCTCCAATGCATGGAAGGAGAAACCCATATGTTATATGAGTGAGCAGAGCACCCCTTAGCAAAAGAGAGAAGGTGCATTTACCCTTTGCACTGGGCCTTTTTACAACAGATTCTGAAATAGGGGCTTCCTGTAATGTTGTATATGGAAGGCATCGCTATATGAAATGCCAGAAAAACCAGGAGGCATCTGTGAAAGTCAGATTATTATAATTGTTATTATTTTTTAGAATTTGCTATGGAGAGCAAAATGTTTAGTAGCAGCAGGACCTGAAAATAAGCGTAGCTAATACAGTTGGAGGTGGAGTTACCTGAGCACTATCTTACCAATTTCCTAACTCACCTGAGAACATTAATTCCATAGATAAATAAGAAGTTTTAAAAATGCATTTGAACTTCATTATATTTGAGTTATGGTGGTGTATTATAATATTATTCTCAGGGGAAAGGAAAAAGTATGCTTATTTTTGACCAGAAAGTTATTAAGTTTGTGAATGCATGGTAAAACGCAGAAAAGTGAGTTAGCAGAGAAGAGAACTGTGACTGACTGGATAATGTGATGAAGTGTATTGCAAACTAATGGATATGAAAAGCCATTATAAAATGCCTGTTAAATGTAGTGGCTCTTAAATATAGTGTCTAGTTAGTCTTCATTAAAATTATGTCTTATCATTGCAACATGAAGAAAAAGGCTGTCTATAGTTTTGACACTTTGGATTGTGATTGTTAAAATGTTATTCTCTTTTTTCCTGCTCTGGGTGCTTGGAAAATTATTGCAATAAAGTGACTGTTATTTCATCATCATCTTCTTTTTTTTTTTTCTTTTTTAAAGCTCAACATACAAGAAACGAGCTCCTGATAAATGCCTGCTGCTAAATAATGCATTTTGGTAATTTTTCTTACCTCTCTTTGTTGGGTTTCATATTGATGTCACAAATGATATTAATGTCAGCAAATTTTATTCTAAATTTGCTTAGAAGTGAAGCCATCCTGAAAACAAAAGAGATAATATTTTATCACTGTATTTCTGAGTGCCTCGCATCAAAGAGCACTCGTAAATGAGTTAAGATATCAAATGCACTTGTCTCATTATCTTTAACTATATGACAAAGTACTTTAAATGCCCTAGTTAGTGTTTCAGTTTCCAATTACAGAACTGGATTGATGTGATCGCTTTGGTATAATTTATTTAAATGATGATTTATGAAAATAACAAAAACTGAAGAGTGTTTACATTTTGGAAAAATGCATGGATTAAGAACAATTCTGGTACTGTATGTTCTAGTGAAAACGTGGTCCAGAATGTTGATATGAAATACCTAAAATATTTTTATGTACAAGTTTATATTGATCTACTCAAATGTTATATTTCCACATTTTCATAAAAGAAAATACAGTGCTCTTCTGCACCAGTTGACAGTAGGAATAGTTTACAGCTTTGTGTGCTCATGCTGAGTGTAGAGAATCGGTTGTCAGTTTTGCCTTTGGTATAAGTATGGTTGGGAACTCCTATATTTATTTCTTTTTTACAAACATGTACATATCTGTTCTGCTGACAGAAGTTAACTTGAAGGGTAGTCCTTACAACTGGCAGTACCACAGCAGTGAGGAGGAACTCTCCTCCGTGAAGGTTTCCTTTATGTGAAAACAAAACAGTGGCAGCTGTCTTGATGGGGCATGGTGCTGTAATCCTAGTGATGCTGGCTAAATTCTCACCCTTGTTCTTGCATCTATCTTGCCTGCTTTCAACTGGAGTTTTTAAATGGAGATAACTAACTACATAGTGCTAGTATTTCTTTAAGAAGTAGCATCCATCCCAGATTTTCATCCTAACTTGCCTACTTCACCTGGTAGTGAAATGGCTGTGCCTCTAGTGTGTACAGTGCTTCAGAAGAAAAGGTCCTACATACAGTGATGATAATAAGCTTATATGAGTACCTTTCATTTGCTCGAAGGCAAATCTAGACTACTTAAAAAAAAAAAAAGTTAACTGACTTGGTCTTAAATTGATTAACTTGATCTTTACCTTCCTTACATTTTTACTATGGTTAATTATATTCATGTGAGCTATGATAGTTGCATATGAGAAGCATCATGTGCAATTTCACTTACTGTTAACTAGATAATCTCATGTAAATCCCATAAAACAAGTGATAATCTCATTACAGTGTGCAGAGTGCTCTTCTCAGAGAAGGGAATATGAGCTTTAATGGGAAAATATCTGGATGTGAGTTTTCTTTGGTAATCACCATTTACACTGAGCCTTAAGGCTCATGCCATAAACTCAGCACCTTTCTGTGAGATACTTTGTTTTTCTTTTAGAACTGCCCACGCTACAGCAAACCAGTTGTGCTGAGTAATTCCAGCTTCTGCTGTATATGCATTATATTCATCAATTCAAACTCTTTAAAAAGTGAGGCAAAGTAGGGATATTTACACTAGTTTTTCTTCTTCAATCCTATTGACTTTTCCTCCAGTGAAGATCCTTAATTTGCAATTTTTCCACTTCTTCCTGATAGTTAGAATGTAAGGAATTAGAATTGTTAGACCTAGACAAAGATAGAAAATTGCAGGAAGATGGAATTAGTGCATTGTATGGTAAAAAATGCTATCCTTAACACCACCAACATTGGTGATGCTTTTTTGTCTGTTTCAAGTATTTCAAGATAAACTAAACTGCATAATTGTAAAACAGTTTTGTGCAAATTCCCAAATGTTTTTGCGTGGCAACATAGAAATCTCTCTTCCTGTGGTTCTTACATTAATTCCTTACCTCCGTCATCGAACAACCACCAAATGTCAATTGTGCCTTTTCCTTGTTTCTTTTTAAACTGAGTGCTGGCTTCTAGAAGCTTCTGATTGAATTCTCCCACATGCATTGACTGTACTGTGTTAATGGTGCTTTCTGAAATGAGAATGAGAAGATAAGGCAGGTTTTCTGAGAAGCTGAATAGCTGTAGGGAGCCATTGGAGAAAAAACATACGGACATTTTTTTTTTTGTCACGTTCACGTAGTTTTTTCAGTTCCTTTCTACAAAAATAAAGGAGAAGAAAGATTTGTGAAATTTTGTTTAACTTTGCTTTAGTTCACCTTTTACTTAGAACAAGCTTATATGTTTGGGTTTATCCAAACTCAATCAACTGCTTCTCTAACCTGGCATGTTTGTATGATGTTCGCTATCAAATTCTAAAAATATTAAACTAATTGATACCTCAGATATTTTATAAACTTAGGGAATTAGAATTGGCTGCTGTTCTCATAAGGAACAAGAACTCGTCTTTCAGAAATGTGTGGTTGCAATCTGTTGCCTGAATAAAGGTGGGCAACTAGAAAAGTACTTGTTTGCTGTCACATGGATTTGCTTTCTTCTATTAGTCTGTCTTGTTAAAACAGATGTGAAATATTTGTTTGAAGACCTGACTTGCTTCTGTTATAATTCCTATACTCTAAAACTACAGAAGTTGACAGCACAGGTAGTATGGACTCCTAATGTACCAGTACACACAGGAAACAAAGCTTTTGTAATACTGTGTCACTAGATCGTAGTGTCTTCAAAAAGTATATCTGATTATTTGTTCTCTGGATCTTGTTAACTACCCTAGATTTCACTGTCACTTTCTATTTTAAGAAATATATGATAAATTTTAGAAACAAATACCTTTTAATTGGTGTTTGTTTACAAGCTTATCTGTCTGTTGGAAAGTACAGAATTTCATAAAGTGAACAGTTAATACGAACAGCTAACTGGTTGTAGCAAGAACACACATTAGACTAAGACTGAAAGGCCGAAAACATAGGCAAGGATGGCAATTTCTGTGTGCTTGAGAGGGTTGTTATTTACTGAAAATAAACTTTGCTTCCTACTCTTTGCTTGGCTGTTGCCAAAAGTTATGGTCCCGTCTATGCACTAATAGCATGTCTGATTCCATCTTTTGAAGCCTGGGCTTTATTATTGCTTCTCTTCCGATGACTTAAAAAAAGACAATGTCAGAACAGTATAAATGGAGCAGACAGGCTTCTGTAGAGATTTTACTTTGCTGGGTTGCTTTGTTCTGTTTCCTATATTTCTAAAGCATGTAACACAACAGTTCTAAAGAAGCTGTGGGCTTTCCTCTACAGTTGTAACATTTGTGCTGGAAGGTGTAACAACTCTGGCGAGGAAGCATATTGCATATTTTATGCCTTTCTGAACTAAATAAGCAGGGTATTTAAAGAAAGGGTGCACGTTTCTTGGCTTTTTTAAAAAATAAAAATATATTCTACTGAAGCCTGCAAAATGAACTGAAGTCTGCGAAGTCAAGAATAACAACATTTTGTGTTTTCAGTCTGTAGATCTTCTTGATACCTCCAGGAGCTGCATGCACAGCCAGATGTAATAGACTCTGCAGGTGAAAATTCTGAAAATACTTATCTGCATACAAGCATAGCTTCAGGTGGGTCATTATCATTGCAGCCTAGCAATTCTGAAATGAGACCTTTAATTTTGTCTGTACTTCTCTCTCATTTTACTATATCTGAAATGTAATTTTGATTTCATAAGCTGTACATTTATGTTGTGTTAATTAGTTATTTTACCACATGCTGTATATGTACTTTCAGTATTTTTACCATTTTCATTTGTACATTTTTGTGAAATGATGCTTAAAATATAGAGCAGTAGTGCTGTTTTTACCTGTTTTCCAGCTGGATTGTGTGTGTGCGTGTGTGTGTGTGTGTGTTGAATAAAATGGGATTGCTTCATATCTGAGTATTTCGCATGTGTTCCTGTTTTCTTTACAGGGGAAAGAAAGTGTCTTTTTTTAAAAAGAGAAAATACCTATAAAAAATAAGACTTGATTTGTGTTCCTCAAACATTAATAATCACATACTATTTTTGACAGATGGCCTTATCAACTGAGAGCTTGTTTTTAAGTCTATGTAGTGAATGGGAGCAGGCAGGAGTTGTGTTCAAGGTCTTCTACGTCAGGAGGATGTGCTATTCTGGACTCTATTATGGCCACCAAGGAATGTTTGCACAGGAGAGGCCTCATTCCAGGAGCTTCTTTGTGGCTCGGGAGCTTTGGCCTTGGAACTGAAGTCCAATTTTTGCATGTTGGTAAGTGTGATGAATTAAAGTATCAGGGAGAAGTTCTCCTTTTGAAACTTACCATTTTTTGTTTCATGTTTTGTGATATTGAGCTTTCTGGCTTTTCTGAAGAATCCACACATGCCACTTTTTTCTTCTTCGAATTCGTTTTCTTTAATTGTAGCTTCCAGTGCCAATCTCTCCTGCTCCAGCTTCTCTAATTCCTCTGTATATTGGAAAATGTAAGGGAACTGTGAACACATCATTTTCTATTTTAAATAAAATCGCTTATTGAAATAATAGTGATGTTATAATTGCTGCTGTAGCTCTTAGTACAAAACGTAAAGCTGCTGCGAGAAAAGCCTTTAAGTACTTTGTTCTTGTGCCAATAGGGAAGAGGAAGCTGAATTCATCTCTGGAAGCCTTAACACAGAGTGCCCATGCCTTTTGCAGCAGTGGTGTGTACTAAAGGATTAGTTAACTCTTCCCAGATTTCTTTTTCCAGGCCAAATTCAGTATTACTGTATTTCATGGTCACTTAAAGTACGCTATGTATTTAATTATGTTTGTGGGTTGTTTTTCTTAAGAATTTGAAAACACTTTAGGAAAGCTGTTTTCCTAAAGTGAGAAAAGTAATGTATTCAATTTAAGCCCTTGGGCCTCTGGACTAAGAACAGGGCTGCATCAATTTGGACTCAAGATTCATGGAAAAATACAAGGGTACTGAATATATGATCAGTTTCTGTGCTGAAATATTTCTTATCATTTATTCTTTTAGCATTTGCTGCATAGAGTTAAGATTTAGCTGAACAATTCTGTAAATTCAGTAATGTAAAAGATAATTCCATCTTAGCTATATTAGACTTCTGCTGAGGAAAAAGTACCATATGTTATAATGGAATATACTATGGTGAGGTGCTAATTAATAAGATACAAACATTTACCTTCAGAAGGCTTTTTTCAAGAGGGAAAGACTTCCATTTAAGTCGTATGTGGGCTGAGTGAGGTAAATTTTGAGATTTTTTTTAGTTTTAAAACAAAGAAGAAACCTCATCAGCTAGACATCATAACCACTGCTGGCACTCTTGGTTGCCAACATAAATGAATATAATTTCTTTTACTTTAGAATCCATGACAACCATATGCTTCTAATTATTAGAGCTGATGATTACCACTAACTTAATGGTTACTCAAAAATAGATTTCCAGTTTCTCTCTTGAACAGAATTTCATAGCAAATAGAAAATAATCATTTTTTTCCATTTCAGAGACTGCATCTGCTTTAAAACACTTCTGTATATTTGAGGATTTTCTTTTTTTCCCTACTGCTTCTAACTCTTTCTCATTTCTAGTGTCTTATCACTTGGTACTTGCTATAGTTTCACTGGTATTCTAACTAATGCATTTTTCCATCAGTCAGTTTCTGACTTACAGCATGCAAAGAGAAAGTTCTAATGGAGGTATTAGAGAGGTTGAGGAAAGCATAGATCTTTTGGGACTATTTTCTTAAGGTCTTGTTTTGTACTGCTGCTCTCCATGCACATCAGGCTGCCAGGGTGAATATTTGCATATTCTTTTTTGTGTTTCTGGATCGTTTTAATTCTTAGGTGATTTGCTTTTGAGGACTGCCTTATCCTAGAATCCATCCTCTTTAGAGGAAGGGGAAAAGGTTAGGAAGGAGCTAGATTCAGTTTGATTTAGCTGAGCTAGGATTCTTATGTCCTTTCCGGGTGTTCTTTCAGCAGCCGGGAGCGCGGTCTTTCAGCAGCTTAGGGATGCTGTGGGGAGAAGCTGGAGGCAATTTGCAGCAGGCGGCAGCAGAGAGTCGCCATTCTCCTTTCCTAAGAGCATCTCTGTTCTTGTCTATAGGCATCATCTATAACACAAAAACTTTCTCTGGTGATGAGAACATGGGACTCTAGGAGTAATCTCTAGATTTAGGTTGTAACATTCTGCTCAAGTAGAGAAGCTTGCAGAAAGTGGGAAAGTTATCATACTGAAAACATAATTATTGTTCTAATGGGGTCCCTAAATGGAGCTGTTCCCTCCCCAGCATCCGTGAAGAGCCAGTTGGACTATTGTGTCCTAAAGAGGAAAACCAAGGCCACCTCTGTATGTCATTCCTGAAAGCTCTTTGTTCAGATTGTCTGTGTGCTTTCTCTCTGCGTTTTCAACCCATATGACATTTTTCCCTGAACTGCACGGCAAAAGGATTTCCCAACTTTTGAGGGATATATACTGCTAATCTAAGGAAGAATGAACAAAAAAGTGGAAAGGAGAATTGATTGCTTCCTGTGATTTCAAGATTTTTGTGACTTCCTGGGTCACTGAAAGCACGGCTTCCCAATTCCCAGCAGCCCAGAAGTCTCAGGTAGGCAGTGAGAAAGATGTGTCAGAAGCAGGAAGCAGCCATGCTGCACAGTGACACGTTGCTCTTGCACAGCATGATTTTACTGCTTTAGCTTGTGCCTGTGCTAGAAGTGCTTTGGAAGTTGAGTTATTTGGTTTGCAGAACTTATAACTTTGTGAGGCTTGGTCTTCTCTGTAACTGCCAGCGGATGTTGGCTTTAGCAAGGGTTTTTGGCAGAATTGAAACTGCAGAAGCAATGAGGAACTGTGGAGGTCATATGCATAGAAACTACTCTAGAAACTGGATAGTGACACTACATGTATTCATCAGTCTTCCTTGTGCAGAGCCTGTAGCAATTGTGCATGTGAAATATAATTCAGATGTTGAGATAACACATACCTTGAACCTGGAGGACCTGAGATATATCAAATCCTTGGCTAATTCTGACAATAATCGTGCCAAGTTCAAAATCAAAGGCATCACTGCAAAAGAAGAGAATATATCCTCTTGTATCATGTATGTTACTGAGGGAAAGCTACCTTGAGCATCTGCTCAAGTGTAGTAGTCAGTGGGAGTTATTACTGCCGTGCGCTGGGCTGTTCTGGATAAAAGTGCAGGAGGTATTGTCCAAGATTAAGTATCGTTCAGTATCAACGTTCTTTCTTCATTACAGAAAAAAAAAAAAGTAAGAGTACTTTTCCTATATCCATACTGGGTATGGGAAAAGATAGGCTATTCCTTAAAATGGGTCTTTCATACAATGCTTTTTAGGAGCTAGGTTGCCAGTAGGTTATTTTTTCTCCCTGCTCTGAGGAAATAAAAAAGCTGTGGTGGGTTTTGCTGCAGCTTTGCAGGTGAATTTTGAACAAGAATCCGAGAAGACTGTTTCTAAATGACTGTTTCTGGCTAAATCCCAACCCACAGAGCTGCTGAGCCTTTGGCACACAAGAGATTTGAAGCAAGGCTCTTTGTCTGTCTCCTAGGCTTAAAAGAAGAATTCCATGATGTTCTCTTATTCCCTAAGTATGTGCATTAGGGTTGTTTTTCACTGAGCTCCTGCCTACAAAAAAAAAAGGGAAAATATAGTTCTGCAAAAGCACTGCTGACAGCAGTGCAGCTTCTTTATGTAACGTTGTCAAGCCACATAATCTCTGATTGTGCCAGATGTTTGCTAAGCAGATTTCGCTAGGTGCGTGAAGCCGTGGAGCTTTTTGAAATGAACAGAAAATTCTGTTTTAGAGCTAGCATTTGTGAACCCAGATATCGAGATATATTCTTACATTGTTTCTACTTGTCAAATTCTGTATGGAAATACTGTATTAATCCAGAATAGAGGGAGTAAAATAGGGGCGATGCTGATCTGGTACTTACTGTATAACACCCACATAGTTTTCAACTTGTGTGACAGCAGCATTTCTCCAGTCCTTCTTAAATCCAATCACCAAGGTATTTGGTTTCATTCTACCCAATCCTGAGGCCTATCAATATTAAAGCACTTCATGAGAACATACACACACACGCTCTTACTGTAAATGAGAAGTAATGGTGAAAGATAACTGAAGTAATGTAGTGGAGAAGCTTGTGACTAGATTGCATTTCATGAATGTCCTTCATGCTCATACCCATGTAAAAAGATTAGCTCTAAATCATTCCAACTATAAATGATTTTTAGATGTCAGAAATGTAGTTTTGCTAAATTAGCATTCATTTGCATTTCTTCTGACACGCTCTTATTAAAATGGTTCAATAACTTGGAATCAAGAGAGAGTTCAAGTGCTGTTTGTATGCTCATTCTAACGTAGTAGCATAAAGCTTTTATCAGATTTGGAATACCCAGTAGATAGCCTGTCTTCTTTTTGAACACCTCAGAGAAGAGAAGGCATATCCTCTTAATAATATATCTTTTTTTTTGCCTTGAGCTTAGAAACTGTTTCTATTCTGTTTGTTATATTCTTTCCAAAGGATTATCTGTCCAAGCTAGCTGGGCATGCTTTATAGATAAAAGTACAGTTTATAAACATGAACAAATGGTTTGTCAAGATATTAGATTGTCCCCAGAACTGAGTCTGGGTACTAAAACCTGAAAAAATAAGGGCTATCAGGTCTATATTCAGGTAACCTAACTCTTACAGAAATCTAAATACTCAATGTATGGGGAACTTTCAGGAGGAGACCCACAGATACACCAGCTTATACAGTTACTCCACTTGCCAATTTTTACTGTAAGCAAAAAGAAAATAGGTAGAAATGTAGAGTCTAGGAGATTGTTTTTATGAGGGCCGCTCCAAAACTAATCCTAATCCCTCGTATTTTAGTATGTTGGCCAACAGGTGGCAGATGCAGGTGGTATGGCAGTTGAGGCTGAACCTTCCTGCTGATATTTTGGTACATGTTGCTGCTACGCAACAGATGGCAGCAGAGGGGCAGTCTGGTAAAACGGTGCTTGACATGGAAGTCATGCAGAAAAAATTGCACCTATTGAGATTTGTTATCACTTGCTGAACACTTATGGAGACCAAACAGTGGAAGAGAGCACAGTGAGGTGGTGGGTGGTATGTTTCAGCTGTGGTGCCAGTGACATGAAACACAAGCCATGTTCTACATGGCAGTGCCCACCATGAAATGAAGAGCATCTCAATCAGCTCATCTGCATGAATCAGCTAATGGTGGTGAGTATATTGAGAAATCGTATCTTGTAGCTGGGAATTTGCTCTCATAGTGTTACTGTGCTCTTTGTATCAGTTGTGGTTGGAAAAAAAAAAAGAGGCGGCATTACTTTCAGAATGACTGAAAATTAGAGTAGTACTGTTGCATTTGCATTGCTTTAAATGATTCACTGCTTGGCAAGCCAATACAGGTGTCCTTAGGATATCATAGTGATGATAAAGTTATCCTTCTGTCTGCTGGAAGGGAATAATTTGTGGCTTAAATAGTAACAGAAGGGAAAAGATCTGACTATGACTGTTCTTAGAAGCATTACAGGGGTCTCCTACTGAGACAATACATAAACTGATGGTGAAATATACATGTCAAGTTCTGATAGAGTGAATTTTCTCTACATTTTGTGTCAGTACCTACATGTTTCAATTTTCAGATATATGAGAGAGAG